TGCTGTCTTGTGTCAGGTAGCGAGGGTCCGATGGCTCACCTGGGAGCGATCGTTGGAGCCGCGGTGGCGCAGATGCACGTTCGTAACGTGTTCCAACTTAGAGCGTTGTTGCCATTCTCGAGTCACAGGATTAAATACGAGTTCATATCTATTGGAACTGCGATGGGAGTTGCCGCAGCATTCCAAGCACCACTCGGTGGTATTCTCTTTTCCCTCGAGGAAGCGTCTACGTATTGGCGAGCCGAGACGACTTGGCGGGCGTTTTTCGGCTGCATTATCGCCAGTTTCACGGCTAAACATTTGTCGGCTCTGGTGAACTGCTCTAACCCATTCGACTGCTATACAGTGCATGCATACTTGGAAGCTTCAGGAGCTGATAGAACATTCAGAGTGTGGGAGTTGTTTGTTTGTGCCCTTATCGGTGTACTCTTTGGATTATTGGGAGCCCTCTTCTGTGCCGGAGTTAAACTTATACAGTCAAGGCGGCGTGCCTGGTTCCACCTCTTCTCGATGGGTCGCGACCGCAGAAGAGCCTGGCGAGTGATAGAGGTCATTGTCGTTATACTCATGACCATTCTGCTCTCTTTTGGCCTCTCCTGGGCATTCTTCTACGAATGCAACCCTGTGGTACCTGACGCTATCGTAACTGATGACGACATTGCAGGAGCTATGTGTGACGAAGGACTCAGTGGCGGGAGCGTGAATCCCCTCGCTGCTCTACTTGTATCGTCTCGTGATGAGGCTATACGTTTGCTCTTTTCCCCATATATGGGTGATAGTGAGTATACGCCTGGTGTGCTGATACTTGCCGCTGTTGTTATTTTCGTCCTCACATCACTAACGTATGGCCTTGCGATCCCTATGGGCCTCTTTATCCCCAATATAATGATGGGTGCGTGTGTTGGTCGGCTGATAGGTATCTGGATGCACCCCCTGGGAGGATCAGTGGGCTCCTATGCTGTTATCGGTGCTGCTGGTATGCTCGCTGGTTTCTCTAGAATGACTATAAGCCTGACTGCCATCGTTGTTGAGATCACTGGAGATCTACAACAGCTCCCCTATATTATGATCACTGTCATTGTGGCGAAGCAAGTAGCTGATCTGTTCCTCAAAGGTGCTTATGATCTTGTACTGGAAGTTCGACAGGTTCCTTACTTAGAGGAGCTCGATTCTTACCATGAGTACGCAATGAGGGGTAAGAGCATATCATCAGCAATGTCGCCCGCGCCTCTCACGAGCTTCAGCACAGTAGAGACATTCGAGAGAATTCATACAGTCCTCACAAAGTCTGAGCATTGCGCGTTTATCGTCGAAAGTAGGGGTAAGCTCCGTGGCTTAGTTTCACGTCGAGCGATAGAAGACTACTTATGGCGACATGGCCCAGTATCACGAAATGAGGTCTTGGATTTGGTGGACCTCGCCAATCGTTGCCCTCTAACAGTTCCGGCATCCTTCCCCCTCGACAAAGCATATAACTTGTTCAGACAGTTGGGTCTGAGACATCTCCTTGTGGTTGCAGTAGAGGAGTCGGACCGAGTTGTCGGAATTGTGTCTAGAAAGGACCTTTT